GCCTTAGTTTTTCCCAGGAGGTCTCCCATCCAGGTACTGACCAGGCTCACACCTGCTTAGCTTCAGTGGGTTGCCAGTTGTGAGTTGCAGGGTGATATGGTGATATGATATTGTGTTCATTTGGAAGCACTGCCATTAAAAACAGCCTTGGAAACACGGGACTCCACCCAGGGGGAGTAGCAGTCATCTCGCCATGACGTGTAATTGATATAGTTACCTTTAACACACATAAGGGGATTTTGTGGTATTTTCAAAGGTGTTTGACTTACCGCTTCTGTTGCCCCAGTCCAGAGACATGGCAGTAAACGAATGTTAGTGACCTTTTTTCACATGCCTTGTGAAATCTTTAGCAAGCGGAAGGACATTCCTTATTTTGAATTTGACTAAATGTTATTAGGACAGTATGTTACTGAGAAAACAACACCCTTTTCAAAAATCTTTAAAATGCTTTCTTTTTAATAACGGTCAGCATAAAAATGCATAACGGATACATTTGATTACATAAAAGTCCCGGTTTATTTTTGAAATAATTTAACTGTGGAAGGAAAATGTCTTTCTGCGTGTTCATGACACAAATGAAAAGGTCGTTGCAGGTTATCGAAGGTATAGGCACAAATCTAACTGGCAGGAGCACATTGGTGAACCCTAAGTTAATTATTTCTTGCACTTAAAGTGAATTGGGAGTTTTACTTGGACTTTGGGCTCACTCAAGCTGCAGGTTTTTCAGAAAGGCTCGTTTCAGAATGGAAGTTTCTGAATTTGATCCCAAGACGTTTTCTGGAGCTAGGGTGCTGAGCTGTAGCCTGGCTCACCTGTGTTTCAGTTTGGCATCTGTGTGAGACAGACTCCTTCGTGAGAAAAGAGCAAGCAAGGAACAAAGGGAGGCCGTGGTTCGTGGGCGTGAGGAAAGCCAGAGGCCTGGAGTTCTTAGGCTCACCTGCCCTTATCTTCTCACACCCCTCAGACTCTGCCCACTTGTAAAGCACAGGGAATGCACTTGTTAAGACTTGTGTCTTGCCATTATCTGAGAAACAGACTCCCATATGTTTGTTTTCATATGGGCCCGGCCTGCTGCCTTACTGTTGTTCTACAAAGTTACGAACCGAACTTGTCACGGGAGCTGATCTGTGGATGTCCTGACCCCATTGGAATTTTGTGTGTCAATTGATTCAACTCAGTCCAAACAACAGTTATAAAACAGGCTCCTTGTGTTTGTTCAGGTGGTGCGTGCCCTGGGCTTTCTTTTGCTGATAAGAGTGTAGTATTGCCCTACTTTTCGGTTGTGTTCAGGCTACTCTCCAGCTGGACAGATTTTGGAATCAACTTCCTCTCTTTTCTTCAACCTTCTGGTGTTTCGCCACCTTTTCTACCTAAAAACCATTTTCTTCCCCTTTAACCCACCTTGTAGTGCACCACTTTGTCTTTCTCCTTGAAACTGGCTCATTTTCAACCTTTTTATCCAGTTTACTGCAGGAATTTACAGTCATTTGCATCTCATCTGGGGTCTTGTGAAGGCTCAAGTGCCTCTGCAATATTAGGATATTCTTTGGGGAAAAAAAGCTCTTTGACAAAACTGGGATCGGTGAGTGTGGGAGTTATTTGAATGCTCTGTAATGAATTCACCTCAATAAAGTTTAATAAGAGTGATGATAAGAATTCCCTTTTGAGGTACAAGCCTACACTGGAAAAAAAACACTGCTTTAATCTTAATCCAAGGAAGTATATTACTACCCCTATAGACATTGAATCTTTTTTTAAAATTCGTTTTAGAGCACAAGGGAATAAGAAAACACACTGCAAAAATGTACAAAAAATAAAACGAGTGTTCTGCTGTAACAAAAGAAACGGAAATCAAGGCTCAGAAACTGAGGGGGGGAGCTGTTTATTGGATAAGTACTTGGCAAAATAATAGTTTAAATGAAGGATGATTCAGCTTGCTGTTTTAAGAAGAGGCATTCCCAAGACAGTTGCCATAGTTGCCGTAAAATGTTTTGCTGCTTTTTTATTTCTGAAAATTCCCTTTTAACTGCTGTGTCAGCATGAGGTTGTGCTATAAGAAATGGAGAATGATGCATCTCTGATTTTCCACTAGTGCACCTTCTGGGGTTTCACCTCATAACAGAAAGCATCTGTTGCCCATGGATGACATTTAAACATGTAAATACATTGCGTTTTCTCCTTTTACACGGAGCGATACGTTTGTCAGCTGAGATCTGAAAGTGCTTAAAATCTGCCAAGAGAGCTGAGATCTGTGATCGCAGCTAGTTTTGATCAAAACCTGTGAGCAGGACACCCATAAAAAGGGAGTTTCGGGCAGAAGAGCGTTATGACGCAGCGAGCTGATGCAGACAGGCGCGAGAACCCAAGTGAGAACACCTGGAGGGGCTCACAGTCGGAGACCGCCGAAGTGGGCGGGTGAACGGAGGCTGATAGAGACGGCCGAGGCAGGACGGAGATATGCAGATATACTGAGAGAAAGATGACGATCGCGATCTGACAGCACTGGAGGCGAGCACAGCTTGCGCCGCTGTCCGGGAATCTTGCAGGGACCCGAGCCAATGGTATGGTGCCGAGCAGGAGACTGGTTACTGACGACGAGACAAACTAGGTTCAGGACAAACTAGGAGTCTTGCAGGTGGATTCGGGCCTTCCTTTAGTGATGCAGGTTGGTATTGCTGAGTGCACTACCTAGGTTGGAAGGTATCTCAATGACAGAGCACTGGATCAGTGGCACAGTAGGGTTTAAGAAGTCTGCCCTGATGCGTGAAGCTCCCGTTAATCAGATGAAGAGCATCCAAAGAACTCAATGTGGAATGTTTTTCCTCGAGGCGAATGCGCATAACAAAAAGCACTGTTTATTTTCAGGGGAGCCCTTGCGTTTAGATTGACGTTAGTGTTGATCATTTCCACACGGACTTGCTTAGTTGACATTTACATGGAGGCGAGGTGTTTATGGAAAGGAGAGGACAGGGTGTTCTAGCTCATGTTTTGTGCTCATGCCAACAATGCTTTTGTCACAACTAATGTTAACAGAAATCTGTCCTCAAGGCTGTTCTCGGTGCATACAGCATAAACTCTTAGAATCTCTTTAGATGTCAGGACCAGCATTGCCAGAATTGACAAAACCAAGGGGTATCATTTCTTCGAGATGGCTGTACAAGGAATTAAAGACTTCATAATGAGCATATATAATGCATTTACTATACACACAAGAAAACTGTGGAACACTGGAATTTAATACAATGCAGGACATGGGCCCTGGATTCTGTTTCAGACTGGAGAGCCTTCTGTGGAGTTTGTATGCTCTGTCCATTTCTGTGCGGGTTTTCTCCAGGTGCTTCAGTTTCCTTCCACCTTCCAGTCCGGTTAGTTAATGGCCAGGTTAATTAATACATTTCTCTTAATCTGTCTGTGTGTGTTTGCACTGCAATGGAGTGCTGTCCTGTTCAGCGTATGGTCTCACCTTGCAGCCCCTACTCCTGGGATAGGCTTTCTGAGAATGCACGAAAACACACAGGATTATTGAGATCAACTGTGCACACCAGAGGGGGTTTATAGCATCAGTGCAGTCACAGGGTATAGAATCTCTCAGGCTAGAGAGTGGTTCCCCTGGATCCTACAGTACGTGTCTGACAATCAGATCCCATTTCTCCAGGGTGCAACACGGTTACCACAATACAGCTGTATTTGATTGGGTCACCCCTCTGCCTTTTGAATTCATGACGTGATCGAGGTGAACAAACTCATTGTCTCTGCTTCCTGCTTTGCAGCCAAGGAGTCAACGAAGGCATCGAGTGGATGGTCAAGTGTGTGGTGAGAAATATTCACCGGCCTCCCAGGCAGAAGGACATCACGTAAGGCCCTGCACCCCTGCAGCTTCAGAGGGATCAAGCCCCCGCTACATGTACTGCCGATCACTCCTGTTGGCCTGTCAAGAAGAAAACGTGTTGGGTTTTTTTGTATAGCTCGCCTGTCGGAGACTTAAATGCATTGTGTTTGTGTACCTTTGTGGGGGTAGAAACTGACGGTGGTGGCACAGATGCTGATTGGACAATCACCTGCATGCCACATAGTTGCTCTTTTGGTGTCTAGGCCTTTTTTCTACCATGTGAAACTAGATTGTAATCTGTAACAGTAGCCGGCTTTCAAAGAATAGCATTTTGCGTAATTTCTCTGTGTGACCCTGCACATCGTGACCACATCGGGGGTAGAACAGCTCAGCTATTCAGCTGACTTGGTGGGGGGGGGAGTTTTTTGGTTTTTCAGGCTTGCCTTTTTCCCCCGTTTTTTTTTTTTTTAATCCTGCGTGTGGTTCACGCATTCTTGTGCATTGTTATTCATTGTAACACACGCCACCATGGCGTTAAGTAATTGCAAACTTACGTCAACCAGGAAATAAGGCAAAATAAGAAGGATCTCCTGGTGGTGTGCCTCAGAGGCTTGGCTGCAAACAATCAGGGGTGATCAGTGACATTGTAGGATGGAATGAGATTTCTTTCCAGCACGCATTGGTCTTAGGAATGCATTAACATTTTCAGGTCAGCCTGGTGGATGTGCAATGCACCAGGGCCTGCAGCTGCAGACTGTGTTTCGTTTTGTTGCTGTTGGAAAAAGAAGTTATCCAACTAAGACTACGTAGCCCGTTTCACTGAGGGAAGCAAAATGAGTAAGCAAGGCCTGATTCTTATATTGAGAACCACAGATTATGTGTGTGTTACCTGTACATAGCAATTCCAGAAACAATACACACCTACACATTTTGTTTACACACATCTTTCTTTGTATTGTCCTTTGAGCTTCTGTCCCTTTGTTCCCTGACTGGATTTTTCCAGTTCCCACAGTAGTAAACTGGGTGGAATAGACGTTGTCATTAAGTATCGCTTCTGTTTTGTCATAGTAAAACTGCATTAGGTTACCGTGAGTACGTCAGTACATAAAATGATAGTGAAAATGAATTCAAAGGTCTGTTTGTTTTTTTGAAAGGGGTGGTCTTCTGAATTTCCCTGAATAGTTTTCCATGAAGTCACTGAAGTTTGAGATTTTTCCAGAATCAAATAATTTTACAAGAAAACAGGATTTTCCAGCAAATGGGCACTACAGTCACCATTAGTTATGTTTAAATGTTTTCAAATAAATATATTCATTTACTTTACACGTCTGGCTCTGTATTGTATTATATAAACTGATCATGTGTATTTATATAGGAACAAGTAATAGGTTTATTCCATGCTGAAAAAAAGGAGAAAGAAACCACAACATTTCGGCCGTGGAGCCTTCTTCAGGTGTGAGAAAGACAAGGCAGTAAGTGCCTTGTAAGTAAGCAGTAAGTGACTTGTCTTTCTCACACCTGAAGAAGGCTCCACGGACGAAACGAAACCTATTACTTGTTCCTTTGCAGCCTACGCATGTTGACGCAGCTACCCACCTGAACGTGTGTATATATATATATCACCCTGCTTTTCTCAAGTGAACTATGTAGAAAATGCTTACTCATAGAAGTGAATAATTTGTCTTCAGGGTTCAACCTCTGATCTCAGTTTGGCTCAACTTACAAACAGCTGTGAGACAAGGCTCAAAGTGCTTGCAGGTGGATGCTGCACACTGGTGGTGGTGGAGGGGAGTCCCCATTACCCGTAAAGCGCTTTGAGTGGAGTGTCCAGAAAAGCGCTATATAAGTGTAAGCAATTATTATTATTATTCTGTCCTCTGGAAAGCTGCCATCAGGCTCTAGATTTTAATTCTTGCCCTGCTGTGAGTGATGTTTGATAAGACCCTGGCCAACTCAGAGCTCTGGATGACCCAGCACTTTGGTGGAATGGAGAAAGACAGACATTCTCGGAAAAGCTAACAAGTCCGGGAATGACGTTCTGAGCTATATTATTAGAACACAGCACACTGCCTCAGACATCTTTATTCCTTATATACCAGCTTATTCATTTAACAACCAGTACGCCTGTAACCCCTTTCAGGACAGTTACTCTCGGCTACAACAGGGACAGCTTTCTAAAATGTTGAAAAAGTGTAGCTCTCGTGATGTTTTTTGAATTGGCTTGCTGGTTGCAAGTGCTGCTTTTCTGACCATAATCCAGTAGTTCCAGCTCTTAAATAATGACTGACAAAAAGGCGAGGCAGTGATAGTACAACTTCCTCTCACCACTATTACAGTAGAGACTAATCTCAAAGTTCATATTCCTCTTTTTTTTTTTTTTTTTTTGGGAACCGTTTCGTTTTTTTGAAACCGGGGTTTCTTCCCCCTCATTTATTATTTATGTATATATTGGGAATAACCCATTCACTTCCCAGTAAAGTGGGTATACAGTAGCACTATATAAACATGAATATATTGTTAACAATATACTTTTTCTAACATTTTAATTTGTGCTCCCTCCCTGCTTTCCTCGTATGGAAATGTTTTATGTTGATGTTTATCTACTGTGATTAATACAGTTCTGTTTTCTGTTTATAAGCTTAAGAGAACTCCCAGTCAGGTCATAGTACTGTTTTGCATTAGAAATGTGAACCACTTCTGTTGAACTTTGTCTAACTTCTTGGAATTGGAGTTCGTAGACACACTCAGTATCGTCTTAATCTGGTGACGGCGCAGGCACAGAAGTCAGAACCAGCCAGATGAGGTTTAAGGAGAAGGTCAGAGCCTGATAGCATGGTGCGCTCAAGCTGAGTTTAGGAAGAGCAGCACGAATAGAAGGGGCCAGAATCACCAGTGACCAGTGTTCATTGACATGCCACCACATCCAGCCATCAGGGGGCGCTCACCCTGCGGTCCATTTGGGTCCTAATGCCCCAGTATAGTGACGGGGACACAATACTGTAAACAGGCGCACATCATCCAGGTGGGGCTACACATTGCTGGTGGTGGAGGGGAGTCCCCATTACACGTAAAGCGCATTGAGTGGAGTGTCCAGAAAAGCGCTATGTAAGTATAAGTAATTATTATTATCATTATCATTATCATTATCATTATTATTATTATCCAGTGAACTGGAAGGAAAGGAGTCAGGAAAGTGGCCCACGACATCATTCACCCACTGTACTGTCAAATCCCCCTCTTCTTCCCAGCATTCTCCTGCTTCTTGGCACTGATTGTCAGGAAATGATGCTGACCAGGCATCACCAACATCATACCCAGAGAATCGAGAACCCAGCAGAGCAAGCCTGAAGGGACAATACTATCACACCTTGACCATAAACAAAGTGCTTTCAGCTTTCAGACTGCTAAACGTGGCAAGACCCTTCAGCTCATGAGTGCTAAATAATCACCCTGCATTAAAGAAACGGAATCTTGATCCATTTCATGAATTGATGTTGAATAGAATTAATTTTTGAGAGTGTATAAAAAATAAAGGTTGAGTTGCTGAAATATTCTGCTTACATTTTGAAAGTGGTGGTTGTTTCTGGTACAACTGATCATAATCTGGTGTTTCTTCTTGTCAAGAAAGTATCTCATTTGTGTGTGACACCATGGGCTCCTCTAACCAACTGTCTGAGGACTGCACCAGCAGCCTCTCTGCACAGCAGATAAGGCAGAGAAGTCCACTGCAGAAATTGAATTAAAAGGGCAAATTAAGGTAGGCAAGATTGCGCAAGCCCCGTGCAGTTTTGCCAAGTCATGGAAAAGAAGGATAACTTCCTCAAAAATACTCTTTGCCCTTTACATAGAGACACATCACGCTATAAAATCTGGTACTTCTAGCAACCCTTTAGTATCGGTGTGCCTCTTTTACCTGAGTGACTAACACTGTTTATTTTTGCTATCTGTTGCACATGACAGTATTATTGCTCGACTCTGAGTCATGTTTAAAAAAATTAGGGATATCCCTGACAGCTGTCTGGTCAGAGACAAACTGTAGTAATCATGCCACTGGTATCCACGTAATGGGATAGTTATTCTTTTGGAAAGTTCAAAAAATGCTACATTGACAGGACAGGTTCAACAGGTATTAAAGGGGAATTTTACCGCAGTAAAAGTAAAGTGTACACAGTAACATGTCAAACCTCCAGCGTCATAGTCAAATTCAGAACGATTCAATACAAGGCAAATCTTCAGTGACATGAAGCAGCCCTGTGACATTGTAAACAAGCAGGCTTATTAACACTCTTTAAATCCACTAGAAATATTGCTCTCGATTTCAAGAAGGTTTTGCCAACAAATACTACTGTTAATTCTGCATTCAGATCACATTGGAATATTTCTGTGGTGAAATATCTGCTGCACAATCTGTACTTATTCCCTCATATATCGCATTCCATTAGTCGTTACAAAGACTAATGAGCAGGAAGGGCCACATCATGGCAACAATACTGGACTTTGTATTTTGTGCTTAACTTGGAATTTGCGATACTACCGATGAATGTATTTTGTTACTGAGATTTAGTAACTGGTCTGAGAACTTGGGACTGCAGTTTCCCTTTAAGAAAAGTATATTTTTTGTCGCATTTCTTTGTAGCGCATGTCCATGGTGCTTCTCTGTTCTCTGTAGCCCTCACTGTTCACTTTCACAACAGAAGCAAGTCTTTTCTTCAGCTGTGTGAAAAGGAGAAAATAAACTGCCAATTCAATAACACACAACAAAAGCATTTCGAATGTCTCCTTGCGTTTGTGGTATGGACAGTTCATGGTCCTGAATGTTGGTAGCCGCGTAGCAAGAAAGGGACACACTGTCTGGGTAGAGAGACAACTTAGCAAAGCTTCCCTTCATGTGTTGGTGAGAATCTAGGTGGGATTTACTTCAGATAAAATAAGATCACTTTATTATCCCTATACAGTTTCTTGCATTAGGAATTTGTCTTTTCACAAACCCCAGCTTGCTCTCCATGAGACACACAGGCACACAGAGAGAGAAAGAGAAGCTGGGGGTCAGCCTTTGTACAGCGCCCCTGGAGCAGTTGGGGTTAAGGGCCTTGCTCAGGGGCCCAACATAGGATTCCACTTCTGGCCACAGGATTTGAACCGGCAACCTTCCAGCCACAGGTGCAGATCCTTAGCCACAGGGCCACTGCTCCACCCAATGGTGCCTGCACTGGGTCCCTCTGTAAAAACCCCCTTCACACCAGCACCCCCTTTTAGGTCAAATAAAATATCCCTCCATCCATTTTTGAGCTGCTTCATCCACTTCAGGGTCACAGGGGAGCAGGAGTCTACCATGGCAAGCAATGGGTGCAAGGTAGGGCGCAACCTGTTTAAGACACCACTCCAACGCAGGGCAGACACACATGCTGACACAAGGGTCCGGTTTCCCAG